AGTTTCGCTGAAGATTGTCGCGTAATGCGCGCAGTAGCATGCGGAATGAGAATGGTACTTATCATGACTTCGTAAACATTTAGCATTGATATCGAGCTCGGGCGATTTAGCGGTTCAATCCCGTAACATAGAGATTCCATCAAGCTTGAAGACATCGGTGCCCTCCATTTTTGATAAATGATTAGGTTGTAGTGGATATAACCAATCAATCAGCATCAATCCGATGATGGAAATTGGAAATATGATTTTATTCGCTATTAGTCCAAGTCCAGATAGTGGAGCAGCTCAACTTCCTTTGCTTTTTTAGATGAAAGGGTGGAAATGGAACATATTCCCGTGCTAGGAATCTGGTTAAGTTTAACCGAGTGCACATCAATTGTCGCTATTTTTATTAGTGCACCTGCCTTTCATACCCCTTTCTGTCACCCACATTCACCGTATCTCCGTCCCATCTTGTAGCGTGTAGGAGCTAATATTTACTGTCACCACGAAGGCTACAACGAAATCAGCGGTACTCAAAATCCTAACTTCTTTATCAACCGTTATCGGTTGTTATCGCTTTTGATCACCCACTATCCGTGTTCCCGTCCCATCCCCTATACCACATGTGACAGCCAAGGTTCCAATGTCACCGCGAAAGCCGCAACGAAACTGGTAGTATCCACACTTTGACGCCCCTTATCAGTTCTAATCAGTTGCTACCACCTTCTTCCAATCACCCTTTTGGTCCCTGCCTCACCCCACATAATATTCATGAGAAATGCGAACATTTTAGGATCAGACGCAAAGGGCGTTGCGAAAGAATGGGCTCTCGACCTTGCTATCTACGAAATTGCCCTTTATCACCCTTATCATCTTCATCCACTTTCCTTCCACGTCACCATTGAGTCCCTGTTCTACCGCGTGCCTCCTTTTATCAATATTCATGAGTGGTAGCAGTCCACTGCCAACGCGACGGCGTAAGGAAGTTGGTGACATCGGCATTCTGACGCCCGTTATCAGCTTCTATCAGTACTTATCACTTTCCGCCACCCATCATCAGTGTTCACGCCCGACCCCCTATATACCCTAGAAGTTTGAGCGCTCTGGGATCAAAGGGAACGAAGTTATGAATTTCCGGTCAGACACACACACACACACAACCGCTTAGAAACCGGATTAGATATTAGTTAGTGATGTCGGCGTCAGTGCGACTAATGTAGTAGTATTGAAAGTAAATTTTCATAGGTAGAGGCTTTTTCGTTCATTGATCTGACAGAAAATTTCAATCATCAAATTGTTAATTTCGATCATCGTAAATTTGTCAGCCAATAGGCTCTGCCCCACGAGTCTCATAAAGCAGTAATCAGAATATGAAATGTTCAGGATCATGCTGAAGAGGGTATTCCATTAGAGCGTCAAAGTGCTTCCATGAGTGTTTGGCGAAATTTGGCCGCTTAGAGAGACGACCGCCGGAGGCTGCAGATAGCATGGCAACCATTTTCTTCTCCTTGGGTATGTCCCTTGGCATTTAGAAGTGTTGAGTGAAGCAGTCAGAAACTTCTGATCACTCTTCATGCCTTCTAAGCATTACAGTGATTGCAAGTTATACGATCTTTTTCGATTGGCTGGCTGGTTTGTTGACAATTCTAGGTGAATCAGCATCTACAGACGGGATTTGATGGAGCCTGACTACTCTAAGCTTGCATTAAAGCCTAATAAGCGGCTAATTTCTCCATAGCTATCTGCAGAATGTGGAAAAATGCAAACGGTCATTTGTAGCGTGTTCAAACAATAACACAAATAGCCAACAAAGGTAGAAAAATCAACATATGTTGCAGATTGATATAATGAAAGCTGTAAGATCTGATAGATTCTAAGCTTTCATTATATCAATTTAAAACATATGTTTGGACTCTAGGCCCCACCGTTCTGAGAGAGAGATGATCTTCACGAGCACATGGTCGATTTCCGTCTGTCTCCCTCCACTGCTGTAGATTCTGAAGCTGGCCATAGCCCACGAGGTTACCTTCTGAGTCTCCCTTTTCGCGAAGAACGTGCTGCAGATTGCCAGGTCGTGGGCTGTAGCCAGGTCCAGAACCCTCTCTCCCTCAGCGTTCCTCGTTCCTATCCCTCTACCTCCGTGCACCCTTTCCAGGCCTCTTCTGTCACTGCCGACGTGACCATTCAGATCACCTGCTATGGTCAGGTAATCCGCTATGGCCACACCGTTCCGCTTGGTGTCTTCTCCATTGTAGTAGAGTTTGACACCTTCCCCGATTTCCCTGGCCTTAGCACCTTTCCATCGCGTCTCCTGAAGGCATAGGACTTGGATATTCCTGCGCGTCATCAGATCAGCAACCTCTCGGGACTTCCCAGTTAGCGATCCTACGTTCAGAGTCCCATTCGAACTAGCTTCTTTGGCCGTTCACTCCTCGGTAGCCCTCGCATACTGACCACAGAACTCGGGCGGGGGTTCTGCGCGCCACTTCCGGGTGACGTCCTAGCTTTATCACTGATTCCTTTTTCGACTTTAGACATATTTGTGTGACTGGGGTCTTCATCAGCCGGCCTGTCAACTTAGGGCCTGACGCTAGTAGATTGAGACTACTGTTATACTTATTACCTTCCATTTACTATCATCAATATCAGTGATGAAAATTAAGATTGCCAAACAATACAAAGATTTCTACGTCGACAGGAAACTTAATAAAGTGGAGCTGATCCTGATGCTTTCCTACGAAACTTCCTATTAAACTTGCAGACCCTTCGTAGTACCCTTGTATGTCAAGGTCATTCAAGGCATGGAGCTCTTTTCGGAACCCCTTTTCTTGCCCATGTGGAGGCACATGTCTCGAGCAAAAATAGGGTCAATTTTCTCAGCACGTCTCCTGCCAAAAACACGAAAAACTTCTTTAGAAAGCACAAATTTTACAGCCACTCTATCTGTTGAGCTCTCGCATTTGTCGACACTACCACTAACCGTTTAAACTATTTACGGACTTTGAGTTGAGTTTGTCCTATTTATTTACGCAATAAACACGAATAATATTTATTCATCGAACGTCGAGCTATCGAATGCATTTGATGTGGATGTGACTGGGTCCTGCAGAAGTGTGTGTATGTCCAATTTCAGGGTGGGAGAATCGTCAGCAAGAGATCACAGCCTGAAATGAAGCATAGCATGGGAACCTTCATATGGTATCATATGTTATGTAAAATATTATATCGCGTCATGTATACTATTTGTGCATTTATCTGCCATGAAATTGGGTATTACGTGAGGAGGGGTCTCCGGCATCTGATCAACCGAGAGGCTGGCAATCAGCGCTTGTGTTGTGCTGTGTGGGAACAGAGTCAACCCTGCGTTGCGCAGTTCTCAACGGCCACGTTGCGCAGTTTCGCCCGATTAGACACGTTCTCTCGCGCGAACATTCACACTCGCATGCTCGAGCCGTCTGCGTCTCCGCCCATACAGCGTGCGTTGAGGATCTCTCAACGTGCCGTTGCGAACTGCGCAACGCAGGGTTGACTCTGCTGGAACCTCACACAGCGCACTATTACAGAATCTCCGCTTTCTTTACCTTCTCAATAAAGGCTTAGTCCCACTACCACAAAGAACGTCTGCTTTTCCTTCTACACTCTCACCCCCTGGTTGACAGAAGCCTTGTAACGTGATGGAGTCGCATGGGAGGACATGTGAGCTGTGGCCGCATAGATCATGCACCGATATAGGGGGAGGAGTGCGGAAGGCAAAATTTAATATTATATTAAGAGCCGCGTCCATAGTTCGCGACTCCGGAGATTAGGATAGTACGCGACAATGAAAAGGATAGGTATTGACAGGGGGAAAAGAGTAGTAGTATTAATAGATTAGGATAGTAGGGTAGCATGGTGCGCTGACAAGACTAGATAGGTATCGATTGGAATCGCCGGGGAGTAGTAGATTACGATATTACGGTAGTGGGGTTATAGTAGAGTAGGAGATTAGGATGGATTAGGACAAGACTAGGTACGTATTGAACGGTTCGCCTGAAGACACCTAATCTGCTACTCTCCAGCGCTTCCAATCAATACGTATCTAATCTGGTTAGCGCGCTATCCTACTCTACAACAATTCTGTAATATCCTGTCGCCTACTATCCTAGTCTCCCAAGTCGCGAACAATGATCGTGGCATTATATGTCGACTAAGAACAGCAAATTGAGAAAATGTATACAAATGAGCAGTGATATGAGTTGAAAAAGAGGTGTGGGGAACGTTTTCCAAATGGGCGGCAACTTTAAAGGCAAACTCCGGGATAAAATGAGGGAGTTCTCTGTACAAATATGACGCCCCGGGTGCTAACTGAATCAAACCTTAATAAAAAAGCAGGAACTACCCCCAAAAGGTCCAAAATAATGACCTCCTCTTCGTTAGTTACTTACAAGCCAGGGCTGGGAGGATTACGTGTCTGAACGTGTTCACAGCAGCTGCTGGCTCCATGCCAACAACCGACACGGCCATAAAAATCAGCAATGGAAATTAATTCTTCTAATTTTTCTATTGTTTCTGCTTATTTCTGCTTTTTTTGTTTGTTTTTCCCATTTTAGAAATCTTTTCTTCTAGAATGAATTGCAAAGTTCCGATAATGCCGTAACATAGACTTTGATGTTGAAGTTGGCAGTCGAAATCCGCGAAGAAATCCTCTACGACTGGTTTCCAAACAACGGCTTGACATCTAGTGTTCCAAGTGTTGTTTGGAAGGTTGCGTGGAACAGTGGGCGGGCTCAATGGGGTGGGGCGGCGCCAATGCTCCAACCTAGGCGCCTAGCGCCTAAACTTTGTCAAATCGCCCCGTCACTTCTGCACATGGTCCGCGCTTGCGTACTGCTGCATATTTGACGGGAAAAGCTAATTTTCGACCAATTATCCCGAACTTTGCCTTAAAAAATCCTTAATGTTGTTCTAGAATAGTCAAATGCTTATTGTTGACCAATCGGGATTGTATGTGTGCAAAAATGAAGAGATCATTCCTTACCTCAGAACGAAACTGGCGTCTCTCCTTCAAAATCTCGTTGCCTCTTGAACTCTCGGATCAGGGTGCCACAGATTCGCCGCAGCTCCAGCGGGTCCTTGATCTTTTCACGCTGAAATGAGCGATAACCTTTGAAAGATAATGCCTGTAAAATGTGCCGGAGAATTAGCCTTCTTAACAACTGCGTACAATAAGAGCATTCGAAAGGGCGGAACGACAGAACATGACGATCGTGTGTTTGTCATCTTTTGAGAGAAACGGCTCGTCTTGCGTCGCATCAGCGGGACCCATTTGCTTCACCGAAGCTGCAAGAAGACATACTGAGTGATTTGAACTGAACACAAAGGAGTAACATTCTGGACAAAACCTTTTGCATATGCCGGTACTCAAACTTCCTTAATCTGTCCAGGTAGGAAAGATTAAATTACACAAGGTCATCTCTCCCCTTAACTCAACTTTCAATGGTATCCTTGACTTGAATGCACTACCAACATAATACTGCTAACAGAATTAGGAGCTACTGGTCCTGAGGTACCAATAAAATAGCTATTGTGATTGTGACAAGCGCATTGTATATGAGATCCATATGAGAGATCCACACTAAAACCCGCAACAAGGGCCAACCGTATCTTGTGCAGTTCTCATTGGGGGAAGAGTCGTACTGGAGATTTTCGGAGGGGGATCATAATTGGGGTTAGTGAAGGTACAACAGACGTAAGGGGATTATACATTTTTGTAAAATGGTTGCGGTTGCGTGGGAGAAGGGGGTCAGTTTCAACGGGTTCTTCCGCTTCTTTCGAATATTTATCCTTCTTCCTCTCTCCTCGCTTCCCCACTGCCGACGCGGTTTTGAAGAGAAGTAGATGGCGGAGTTTGAGCCGCGTCGACTGGTCCGCGATCAAAATTCTATAGAAACAGCCATGATGGTGAACATTTGGTAGGGAAGGGACGAGGTCGTATAGAGGGACTCCCCTAAGGTTGATGGTGGTGGTTTAGTGTCGTATCAAGAACCTTTTTTTTTCTTGAGAGAGGAGGTTGTCATTGAAACTGGGACAACGAACGGTTGACCTGCTCGTGACTAGTCAAAAACTTGCCAGTCACACTTGCAGGGAAGCACCCTTCAGAAACGCGCGCATACGCAGAAAGGAAGTCTGGGGGGTGGGGGGGGGGGAGGAGGTGGAAA